GATGGTCGGTTAGGGTTTAGCCGATTACTCCTTCTAGGCATTTTGTTTTAGTTCCTATTATAAATAATAAGAATTTGGGTGAAAACCATAACCACGAAGTGGGGATCAGATCCCACAGCGTGGCAGTCGCCACGACATGGACACGACGATCAATTAGACCTAAGCCCGTGATTTTTAGGGTTTTCAACATATTTAAGCATAAGGTTCTGACTTTTTGACCATTTTATCAGCCTCCATCACCTCTAGAACCCCTTAGGAGAAACCCTAGTCTCCACCTTCAAGATTTGGGCTTCTCCTCTCTCCTCTCTCCTTTTTTGGGTGCTTTTTATGATATTTTGGTGAATTTAAAGATCAAGAAGGCTCTTTTGGTTGCAAGGAATGACGCTTAAAGTTTAGATCCATCAAAGACATTACATTACTGAACTATTGCAAGTATAAAGTTCCAATCTTGCTATCTAGTTCTTTAGATCTTGTTATTTGGGGTTTTTGTCACTCTTGGTCCATTTTATGGGTGATCTTGGAGTTAAGTGGACTCCAACATCTTTTTGATCATTTTGGAATATTTCTTGGACCTCATAGATTAGGAAAGTTATGATCTTTTGCCTTCCCTTTTAGCCATGCAAGTTATCTTGGTCCTTTAGGCCATTTTGGTGTATTAAAGTTTAGATCTTGAAAGATTGTGGCATTATTATGGATAAGGTTAGAAACTTTATCTATTTAGACATCTTGTTGATTCAGATTTGAAAGTGGGTCCCTTTGAGACTTAAAGTCTACATCTTGGTGGTTTGGACCTTCCTAATGGATAAAGTTAGAAACTTTATCCATTAAGACCTTGGATATAATCATATATAAGCTTTGGAGCTCTTGAAATTGGAAGAAAATGGATTAAAGCTCGCTTGAGTTGTTCAGGCCGGTCCCTAGGGTGTGGCCTTAGGCTGCCACAGTGTGGCGACTAAGGAATCAACGACTATTTTTGCATTTTGTGCCCACGACGTGGCCAAGGAAGGCTATATCGTGGATGGCTGTTGTTGGTAATTTTGACCTTAGTTTTGACGTAAGAACCTATCTCTTAAAAGATACTCTCTATATCTAATTAACCCTCCTATATATACAATGTGAGAAAAGAATCGGTTAGGCTCTGATCTATGAGGTCATGATACCTAAATCAACAGCCTAAACTGCGAACCTAAATAATAAACAAAATATATGAAATACAAGTAACTATCTGGCATACGAAAAGTTTGGAGTTTGTAGCGTCTGTATTCAAGAAAATTGGCACAGAGGCGGTAGGCAAGTTGGGTGACGGGTGAAGTGGCATTACCGTAGATTTCTTACAGCAACGTAGGACTTTGTCGAACAACGACGACTTCACATGCGGCTTACCTGCTTCCGCCAGAGGATGACGAGCATGTAGGAAGCAACACATCATATGAAATTTTTAGGTTTAAAAGGTAATTATATAGGTTATGAAAGGGTAGTTTTGTCTTTTTACTTGAAAAGGAATAATGAAAATTTGGGTTTTGGGATGTCTTCCCACGGCGATATCTGATCTGCAAATTTTCGGTGTAGGAAGAATTCGGATCAGCGGTTCACTATGGCGTCGTCTCCGTCGTTGACGGAAGAGGAAGAAACCTTTAACTCTTCTTCTTCAGTTAAATTTGGGACCCCCGAATCCCTTGAACACGTCCAGCAGCTCACCGACGTTGGAGCGATGACTCGCCTTCTCCATGAGTGCATTGCATACCAGCGAGGCCTTGATCTCCAACTCGAGAACATCCTCTCTCTCCGACCTGATCTTGACAAGCATCTTTCTTTCCTCCAGAAATCCGCCGACGTTCTAGAAATTGTCAAAGCTGAATCAGATCACATGCTCTCGAACGTCGATTCCACTTGTGTTCTCGCCGATCAGGTCTCCGGGAAGGTCCGCGAACTCGACCTTGCACAATCTCGCGTCAATGAAACCCTCCACCGCATCGACGCCATCGTAGAGAGATCCAATTGCATTGATGGCGTTCAGAAGGCCTTGGAGAATGAATACTTTGAGTCGGCTGCTAATTACGTCCAAACATTTCTTCAAATCGACGCCAAATACAAGGATTCCGGTTCAGATCAGAGGGAGCAGCTCTTTGCTTCCAAGAAACAACTCGAATCAATTGTTAGGCGAAGACTATCTGCGGCTGTCGACCAGAGAGACCACCAAACTGTCCTCCGTTTCATCAGACTTTATTCCCCCCTTTCTCTAGAGGAAGAGGGATTGCAGGTCTACGTTAGTTACTTAAAGAAGGTGATATCCTTGAGATCTAAACTTGAATTCGAGCAGTTAGTGGAACTCATGGGGCAGAATCAGAGCCAGGTAAATTTCGTTGCCTGTTTGACCAATTTATTTAAAGACATTGTTCTAGCAATCGAAGAGAATGAAGATATATTGAGAAGTCTGTGTGGAGAAGATGGCATTGTCTATGCAATCTGCGAGCTCCAAGAAGAGTGTGATTCCAGGGGTTCTTTGATCTTAAAGAAGTACATGGAATTTCGTAAGCTTTCCAAATTGACATCTGAAATCAATACTTACAAGAACGATTTGCTATCTGCTGGGGAGGAAGGGCCAGACCCCAGGGAAATTGAGTTATATCTGGAAGAAATATTGTCACTCACACAGCTAGGTGAGGACTACACAGAGTACATGGTTTCAAAGATAAAGGGCCTAAGTCAAGTTGATCCAGAACTGACACCAAGAGCCACCAAAGCTTTCAGGAGTGGGAATTTTAGCAAAGTTATTCAAGACATAACCAGTTATTACGTGATCTTGGAGGGATTCTTCATGGTTGAAAATGTGAGGAAGGCTATTAAGATTGATGAGCATGTAATGGACAGCCTCACAACTTCCATGGTTGATGATGTGTTCTATGTTCTTCAGAGTTGCTGTCGCAGGTCCATATCCACATCCAATATTAATTCTGTTATTGCAGTTTTGAGCAGTGCTGTAAGTTTGCTGGGTGGTGAGTATAATGATGCTCTGCAGCAGAAAATGAGAGAGCCTAACCTTGGAGGAAAGCTGTTTTTGGGTGGTGTTGGAGTGCAGAAAACAGGAATTGATATTTCTACTGCCTTGAATAACATGGATGTGAGCAGTGAGTATGCCCTGAAATTAAGACATGAGATTGAAGAGCAATGTGCTGAGGTATGTATTATTGTATTTATCATCTAAACCTACATTTCCTCCACTATCGACTCTAATAGTTTTTGGTTTTCTTAATCAGGTATTCCCCACACCAAATGACAGAGAAAGAATCAAATCATGTCTATCAGAATTAGGAGAAATGAGCAACAGCTTCAAAAAAACCCTAAATTCCAGTCTAGAACACCTCGTAGGCACCGTGACCCACCGAATCCGTCCGGTCCTAGACACCGTAGCAACCGTATCCTACGAGCTTTCCGAATCGGAATACGCGGAAAACGAGGTAAACGACCCGTGGGTCCAACGCCTCCTTCACGCAGTCGAAACCAACACATCGTGGCTCCAACCACTAATGACTGCCAACAACTATGACTCTTTTGTTCATTTGGTGATCGACTTTATTGTAAAAAGACTCGAACTTATCATGATGCAAAAAAGGTTCAGTCAGCTTGGAGGTTTGCAACTTGACCGGGACGTGCGGGCCCTGGTGAGTCATTTCTCGGGGATGACTCAGAGGACTGTGAGGGATAAGTTTGCGAGGTTGACACAAATGGCTACGATTTTGAATTTGGAGAAGGTGTCGGAGATTTTGGACTTTTGGGGGGAGAATTCGGGGCCTATGACTTGGAGGTTGACTCCTGCTGAGGTTAGGAGGGTTTTGGGGATGAGAGTTGATTTTAAACCGGAGGCTATTGCTGCTTTAAAGTTGTGATGTAGGATTTGAATCAATTTGTAATCCGTAATGTTCTTTGTATCTTGTATTTTGTTAAAAAGTAAAGCGGGATATCTTTCTATTGCTTCTTAGTTATCCTACAAGTTAAATGCAAGAAATAGAAATATACTTATCTTGATTTGTTTATTAGGGGTGGGTTTTAAGTTTTAAGGGAACCAAATTCTACACCCAAACTCATGCGTTGATGAAATTCATCCGACATACGTGATTTGAAAGGGGTCATGACTTTTATAGTCATTGATTTTTTGATCAAACGGCTGAGATTTAATTTGAATTATGTGGTTTGGCCTTATAATTTTGCTTTGTTTTGAACCTAGTTCCTGTTGTCATCCTGTTATATGATGTTTTCTGATTAAAGCACAATGTTTTCAAAACTCTACCAAATTATAGCAAGTATCATCCAAGAAGAATGTAATTTTCACTACTATGACTGAATAGATTTTTCAAAAAGAATAAAAAAACCGAGTGTAATGTTGTGATTGGTTAATTTTCTTAAAATAAGATGCGTTGTGATTGGTTAATTTTCTTAAAATAAGATGCGTTGATAAGATAATGAAAGTAGAATGTTGTAATAGAAAAATTAACTAGGATGCTATAATCCATAAACGAATGGAACTACGTTGTTATTTCTTGTATTAAGCCCTTTAAATATACACCCACATGTTTGCCATAGAGGTAAGGAGGCCAGAATACAGAAATGAGGTGAGGGCATCAAATACCCAAATTACGAGTCATGTATGATTGAGTTATAACATTGATTTATCTTACGTTTAATTATATATGAACTAAAAGCAAATACCCAACTAAAAAATATTCAAAATCATAAAAAGACTATTATGCAATAAATTTTTGATAATAACTTAAAACCACCAGAGAGAAATACCACAAAAAATGTGTATAAGGTTGTATGAAGTGGTACATAGGTTGTTGACCCATGAAAATAAAACTGATTCTATTTTTTAAACAACCTATGTAAATAGTAAATAGTCGATAATTTTAACATCCTCAAGTCAAAGCACCCAAACTGCTTTATCTATTATCAAATATGAAGTATCAAAAATAAGGTGCAATAAACCCATACTTTTTCCACATTTACGATGTTCCAAACGTCTTTGATAGTCGATGGAAATACTGTTTTTGCTACAGCAAAAAACACACATATTAGAAGTAGATCTCTTTATGTTATAGGCTTCCAAGAGCAAAGTACAACTTTCAATGCATGATTTACAAGCTAAATCATATACCTTATCTGAGACAGAAGGGGAGATTTTCCCCAAAGCTTGCTCAAAATGTATAGCTTTAATAGTATGTGGCAACCCACGTAATGAGCTTTCTGGTTCATCAGTAGCTGTTGCAGCTTGCTTTATGTTTAATCTCTCTTCACGAACAATCATGATAGCTTCTTTCATCTGAAATTTGGACAAAAATTGACGTCAAGGCTAAACATTCGAGCATTGACTATCTATATTTTTTATTATATCTTACATCAAATTAAATGTTGAACTTTTTGTGTGATATAGTACATGATTATTAGTTTTTAGTATTAAATTAAAATAGCTTGATAGGTATATTGAAAAGCCATTACTATTTTAAATCTTTATGATGCTTATAATTTGTCATATGCATGTGTATGGAAGAGATGCGAACCAATGCAAAAAGATCGGCTCCACTAAAATTTGCACAAGCCTCACTCTGACCAATAGCAATCAAGTCCACGTCAGCATCTATTGGCTTATTCCTAGCAAGAGCTTTCAAGATCAACCCACGTTCATCTGGATTTGGCAGAGGCACATACACAAGTTTCTCCATTCTTTTGGGTCTTAAGAGTGCCTTGTCCACCATCTCAGGCCTAAAATCAAATCAAATCAACAGGATCAGTCATAAATAAAGTAATTTATAAAGAAAATCAATGATGACGTGTCACACCTGTTTGTAGCACCAATTACATAAACGCCCTTTCTTTGGTCAACACCATCTAGCTCTACCAAAAGCTGCAAAAATAAAAGAGCTTTTCGTTTTGACTAAATAAATGAACTTAAGGGTTGTTTCTTTTTGTTTTTCCATTAAGTCTTTTATGAGTAGAATGACGTGTCACACCTGGGTCACAACTCCCTGAACCACGTGTCCCCCTTCTTTTCCACGGTTTGTTGTCAGAGCATCTATCTGCAATAAACAAAGCACCAACATTAATCCCAAAAACATGGCTATCAACCTTGAATCACCCATCTAAATTTTCAAATCCAAAATTTGATAATAAAAAAAAGGAGAAAAATCTGAAAAAGGAAAACCTCATCGAAGAACACTATGCATGGGGAACACGTCCTAGCACGACTGAATATTTTTCGAATTGCCGATTCCGCCTCACCAACATATTTGCTCAAAAGCTCAGGACCCTTCACAGTTGAAAAAATAATCAAAAAGTATTGATAAAAAATAGCCACATGAGTAAAAATATATATATAGAGAGAGTTTGTGAAAAACCTTAACGTATATGAAATTTGCTCCTGATTCATTAGCAACAGCTTGTGCGATTAATGTTTTCCCACAACCAGGTGGTCCATATAGCAAAAACCCCATCTCCATATCAACTCCACATTTCTGAAAATATAAGTTGTATGAACAAAGACTATTTCTTTTTTCACGCTAAATAAATCAAGAGTAGTGATCACGTAAGTTTCATTATTAATTAATTACCTGATCAAACTCATCAGGAAATTTTATAGGCCCAATTATATTACGATTAAACTCCCTTCTCAAAGTATCAAGACCTCCAACAACTTCCCATTTAACATTTGGAATCATAGAAAACCCTTCTCTTTTGGAAGAAGCGACAACATTTTTTATTGCTACCTCAAAATCCAACATTCTCACGCCTTCAAGTTTCTCTAATTCCTCAACATACCACCCTTTCTCCCACCAACGTTCATTTTTCTCACTTCCTTTACAAAGTTCCAACTCTCTTTCATCTATGACTCTTGCCATTGCAAGACTCCCAGCTTCAGTCACCAGTCCTTCCAAATCAGCACCAACAAACCCTGAAGTCGCCCTAGAAACTTTCACTAGATCAAGATCACCTGACACTCTCAATTCACGTGTAAGAACTTTAAGAATCTGGAATCTTCCTTTTTCATCTGGAACACCTAAAGCAATCTCGCGATCAAACCTTCCAGTCCTTCTTAATGCTGGGTCAAGAACATCAGGTCTGTTAGTAGCACCGATTACTAAGACGTATCCTTGTTTTTCACCTCTGTGGGATTGATCCATGCATGCCAATAATTGTGTCACAATCCGGCTTTCCATTTTCGTTTGATGATTTTCTCTTTTTGAAGCGATTGCATCGATTTCATCGATGAAAACTATAGATGGTGTTGTTCTGTATGCTTTTGAAAATAGCTCTCGTATGTTCTCTTCTGATGCACCTGAAATTTTTGCAACGGAAAATAAATTACAATGAAACTATTCACGAACTAATTAATAACTTATGTTTGAAAATGTGTAAATTAACATGAAATGGATCTTTGGTGAACTTACATGATTTATTCACGTTACATTAATTACCTGATATACCAGAGACAATCTCACTGGCTGCAACCTCATAGAATGGAAATCCAGTTTCGTTAGCAATGGCTCGAGCTAGCGTTGACTTTCCACACCCTGGTGGACCATGTAACTAAATGCCAACCGTTGGCCTAACTCCATGCCTACGAGGTAACTCTGGATGATATAAAGGAATAATCACCTGTTTCTTCAACATATTTATCACATCATCCATTCCACCAAAGTCCTTAAACCTTGGCCCATCATTGTGTCTTCCATTCGCATCAACACCATCATCATTGTGTCTTACATTCGCATCAACATCATTTGATAAGTTGCTCTGTTTTTGTGCCTTAAGACGTCTATATGTATATTCTTTCGCTGAACCAACCGTTTTTGTTTCTTTTCTGTACGTGTTTCTAAGTCTCGACTTTGTTAAATCAAACTCCGGTTCTAATTCCAGGCTATGGACATCATCCTCAGATGTCAAAACTGCATTTCTATCTTCTTCGTCTCCATCATCTGATTGCGATTGCGAGGATGAAGACTCTGATTCATGTAACTCAATTCGTCTTTTCTTTCGTGTTATGTTGCTGGAAGCTAGGGTTTGTTTCACCTTTCTGGTGAAAGGTTGGAGCTTGTGACGACTGTATATGTTAAAAGTGGAGCGGAGGCGGTCGACAAGTTGGTCGACTGATGACGCGTCATTACCGTAGGTTTCTTGTACCCAAAGGACGTCCTTCAACAGAGAGGTACGGCCTGCTTTCCTCATCGGAGCATGCTCGAAGGCAGCCGCCGGCGACACTGTGGCTTCTCTATTAAATTAGGTTTAAGAAGTTTATTATATAGAAACACAAACAATCAATGTTACATTTATATCGTATTATTAGACCACATAGCATACCTAGCATACCTATCGCTAACACACCACTCCAACTTATTATTTTAATTAAAAAATTCATATAATTGTTTTTTTAAATACTATTTTTCATTAATTTAAAATACTAAATTACATTAATTAAAAACTACATTAACTAAAACGAAAAAAATTACGTTAAAACTAAAAACTACATTAAGTAAAATAAAAAAAACAATAAAAAATACATTAATAATTAAAAAGCTAAAAATACCAAACTTCTAATTTGTGTTTTTTTAAGCAAGATTATTCCATTTTGGGGAATTCTTCAATTTTTGCCAAGCTTTGACATGTCTAAAACGTTGCTGATTTGTGTTTTCATATTGCTCCATGATCATATTAACCGGATCGATTTCGGCTTCATGAACGTTGTTTATAACAAAGTTGTAAATTCCATTGAACTCAGAACACTTGACCCTCATATCGTGCCACTTCAAGCATATTTCATCAACATTTCGAACTGCACCACCCATTAAACCATTGAAAACACTTTCAACATTTCTCCAAAAAGAATCGGAAGTTTCACCAACGTCTTCTTCCGAAATCGTCAACCAAGCTTGTGCTAATTTCTCTTCTTCTTCTTCTGACCATTTCTTATTTTTGGGAGACATGATTTTTAAAGGATCAAACAACAAAAATATATCTAAATGGAGTAGAATTATATGAAAAATAAGAAGATATTGGTAGTATTTATAGATAAATATTGAAGAAATTGAAAAATAGCCGTTACGAAGGGGGAAGAAAGGTCAAACGTGATTTAATGCAAGAAATGAAGCTATTGGCCGTTTGAATTCGTTGTCCAGAGCACGGAAGGCCACGACCACGACCACGACCCACCACGAACCACCTGGGTGGTGTGCACGGTCGTGGTTCGTGGCCACCTAGACCACGGACCATCTCGTGCAATGTATACCATTTGGCCTTAGTAATCCTAAACAATCATAAAAATTCATAAAAGAAAAGTAGATATTAACTGAGAAACAATGAACATGCTAAACAATCCTAAGCAATCATAAACAAGTAAACATGCTAAAAAATCCAAATGATTTCCGAAAATAATAACCAATTTATCGTTGTTAAATGTTAACTATATAGCAAGTCAGGTTGGCATCAATGTTAAGCTGTTAACTGTACAAAAGCTCCAAAACAGTGACTAAAAGTCTAAAGCTAAACGCCTATATATGGCTCGTGTGTTGGGGTCGGGTCTATTTTCAGAATCATAGAACATTGGTTTTAGTCTACACAAAAGAGTAACACTGAAACAGTTATAGCCTGATAGGAAGTGTTGAATACTTACCTTTGTATTATGGAAGTGTCGATTCTATCACTCTGGTGGAAATCCTCACCGAGTCGCCGGTGGTGGAGCGCAAATCGGAGGAATCCTTGCCCCTTCGGTCGATAGAAAATCGGAGAAATTGAAAATCGAAGGTACTCTTCAGTCGATTGTGTTTGTCGACATTGTTTGGAGTTTGGGTTGCAAACGGGTTCTCTCTGTATTCTGTCGATACTAGAGGCGTCGATTGAGAAATTGAGATAGTTTTTGCCTTTTTCCTATTATAATACTAGGTTAACCCTCTTGATTTTGAATTGAATTTAAAAATTAATTATTTAATAATATTATATTTCATTAATTCTGATAACTTATGAATTTTAATATTGCATTCTTAAAAACTATTTGTAAATATTTAATTACAAAGTAAATGGGAAGTATTTAATTAGGAATGAAGATTTTTGAAAACTTTTATTTTTGATGCATGATTATTGTTGGACATATGTAGATGATACATTATGAATGTGTGTAATGAAATTAACATAAAATACAACAATACATAACTATAAAAAAATACAGTAATATGATGGATTAAGTGTGATTTGCTAAAAATGAATAAAATTTGCTACAAAAAAGTTGGCTACAAATTTCGAAAAACTTCCTTATAAATAACATTGGAAATTTTATTTGTGAGTTTGCCATCTTTATCTAAAATTAATAATTTTAATCCCTCTCTGCTTTGAACTCTAGATAAAGCACCATACAATTGTCCATGTGAAAAAACTGGATCTTTCAGAAACAAACCAACATTTGATAACGATTGTCCTTGACTTTTATTAATAGTCATTGCAAAACATACAACCAAAGGAAACTGTCTTCTTGTGAATTTGAAGGGAATCTTTTTTCTGATGGAGTTAAAGACATTCTTGGAATAAAAGTCTGATTGAAGACACGAGCATGATATTGTGTACCCTGTTAAAAAAAACAATAATAATTATTATTTTGTTGAAACATGTGTAATATTAAATGGTGAATAAAATATATATGAAATACAACAAACCTCCTCGTCCACCAGGATCATTTCAATTGAACAAACTTTATTATTTCTCACAAAGTTCCAAATTTTAAGCACTCGAACCTTGATATGTGATTTTTCATCTATCTGTTCAATTTTTTTAGGTAAACTCTATTTCCTATATTCATTTTCTGCAAAAAAAAAATTAAATCATATAGAATTGTAAGTGAAAATAGCAAACTTCAAGAAGGTACAAAACACCCTAACTAACAACTAAAACTGAAAAATTATAAATCAGCACATGATAAAAACCATTAATTCATATGAAATCATTTTCTAAATTCCAAAAATATTTTTATACTAAAACTTAATACAAACAAAAACCAATAATTCATATGAAATATTTTTTTAGATTGAATAAATTTTTTTATAATAAAATGGAACAAAAATATAAATTGCCCTGGTTCTGTTTTAATTTTTAATTATTTGATTGCATTCTTTTATGTTAATTTTTTACGGATTTATTTTGCCTGATTTAACTGATGGCATTTTCGGATTTACAGTTTAACACTGATTATGTATGTGAATTTACATACTAAATTTAGTGTTTCATTTTTTTATAGACTAATGTATAATTTCTAAACATAAACCTACCATCACACACACACATCAAACACAACACACATACATATAATATACACATTAATATTTTGTGTATCATCTTATATTATCTTAAAGTACAATGCTAAGAGAATGTTATGTGGCAAAGTGATACATATACACACACATATATACATACATACACAAACAGAAACATATAAACACAAACATAAATGACCATTATGACCCTGCAAGTGGTTTTGTAAAAATAAAAAATTAAAAAAGCTAATATTTTATATCATTTCATTGTAAAAAAAATATTGATATATGGTCTGTGATAAATAAAACATCCTTATATGGTCCCGATATAAATAAATAAGATTTTTATTGAAGTACAATGCTATAGATCAATATAAGATCAATAAAACTATGTAAAGAAGAGGAACATTTATTGAATTACACATATACCATTTAGTTATAATAGACTACATTAAACAAATACAGTAAATAACAATGTATTTTGTTTCATGAAAAGTGAAGAACTATGTAATTTGATTCATGCATATTGTAATAGTTAAAGCTTCAGATCTGAAGCAGATTTGATTTTTTTTTTTAAAAACAAAATCAAGATCTCAGGTTCACTACTATTTTCGTCTTTTTAACTAAATAGGTAGAAGAAGAAGATGATTAAGAAGAATTAGGAAAAAGAAGAAGAAGAATATCACTCATATAATGACAAAATGATAGATATTTTTATAAACTAACCTGGTATTTGATTTTGGAAGCGTTGCATAATGAAGAAGAATGAAGACGAATATGCTTGAAAAGATTTCTATGGAGCAGGATGGTAAAAAGAAAAAAAACGTATGAATGGTATTTACGAAAGCAAAGAATATAGAAGATTGCGTTTGCAAAGAATAACAATGCAGATTTTTAGGGATTTAATTTGCAATCAAAATAAACAAACTTTCAAATTTAATCGGAATTTTCGAATCTCAATATTGATTAACCTAATTTTTCAATTTATTTCCATAACTTTTATTTATTTAAAATGATTGGTTGAATATTTGGAAAGCATTTCATTGCTGATTTTCCGGGATTTATTGCATTTGGAATTAATGGCATTTACGTAAATATATAGATGAATAAAAGAGCGGAAAAATCGATATTGGAGGTTTTATAGATTGACACGTGACAGAGTTCTACTTATTTATTAGGATTATGATATAAGCAAAGTAAAAAGGCTATATAAAACTTGAAGCCCACGGTAGGTTAAGTTAAAAGCTCCACCGCCTCCTTATTTTAATTGTGGAAAGTTATAGACATAAACCCTTTTTTTTTTCAACGATATACTTTTTTTTTCCGACAACATCAAGGATTAACAAGCTCTTCAACGTGATTTCAGTTTTCCAATAAATAAGAAGGTAAGTTTCGATTCTTATTATGTGTTACACATTTATTTTTTTGTAATTTGTAAATAATAGTTTTGTTATGATTGGTAATTTGATTTCTTATAATGATAGAATAAGTTATGAACAAGAAAATGAATCATTGATTTTTTTTCTCAAACTAAAAAAAATGTTCATGAACCACAATTACATTATATTAGTGATGATATTAGGAAAGATTGATGTTTATAGTACAATCTTATAGCTTCAAATGAATAATAATATCGAAGAGTCAATTAATAACCTCGAAGAAAAAAAATAACATGTTAAATTTAAGAGAAGTAAAATTAGATTATTTGATTCGTGATCCCAGATAAGACCTTCAATCATAAGCTATCCAAGTAACCAACATAATATGATTAAACGATTATATATTAAACTTGGATCATACAAACTTTAAAAATCAAAATATCTCCTCAATATTAGTGGTCCTAACGGTTGTAAGCGCAATTTTAACAAGCTTTGTTTAAGAATTTTTGGTAGTTGGAATATTAAGTTAAAAATGATGTTGTGTTTTGTTTTC